GGCAGAAGCAGTGTGAGACACTGCAAAGAGGACAACACACAATAAGAAGTCAGCAACAAGCACTATAGTTGGCACGAAGATAGGCTTCACCTTCACAACCAGAAACCAGAGTCTTCTCAAGCGTATAAGGGGTTGCGTCAGCATGTAGAGAAGCTGCCACATTAGCAACCACGTGCAGGGTAGCTTGGTCAGGTGGAACAGACGTCTTTTTGACCTTACTGACACGGGTATGTCCTTTTTTTGAAGGTCGAGATACAGGAACAGGCGGGTACCCGAGGTCCTCAAGATACACTTCAGTGGACGGCGCAGATGACCTGGGCGAACCAGATAGGCATGAAGCAGATGCAGGGGCACAACTGAATGGAGCACAACAGCTCGAAATCGTTAGAACGTATATGGAACTCAACAAAATGCGTCAGACGTACGTATCAGGTACATCAACAGATGCAGATGGAATGACAGCATGGGGACGCTTCAACTTCTTTGATGTACTGGAAACGGTTGTCAGCTCAGGTTCACTACAAGAGGATACCAGAGATAATATTACATGGCAACGGAAGGATCGTTGTGGACGTCATCATCGAAAGCGAGTTCTTCGGTTAAACCAGAAGCCAGCCTTTGATATAAACAACACATTAGAAAGGGAACAGTGTACAGGAATTATCAGAAGAAACAGACAATGTTTTAACATACTCGCCCTTCGTAGTCTTGGTCCTGACACGCCTATGCAGGAACACATGAACAAAATGCAGGAGCTATCGAGATCAAGAAGAAACGTACGCAGACATACGAACACCGTCGGCATGATGGTCAGACTCCCAGGTCCCAGGGACGGGAAGACGAGACTCAATATCAACAGGACCAGACTCAGAAGGGTCAGCGACATCGTCACCAGCCTCATCCTCAGATTCCGAGCTGAGAAATAACCAACACGTTGAGTAGGGACGGAGGGACGAGATGTTTATAACAAGGCTCACGAAGGGGACCCACTACTTTTTTCTTCAGCGATATCGTCCACGAATGGATTGCCACATTCCGAACTGTCGGAATATAAGCCATAGGGCAGAAGAAGAAGCAAGATAGGACAGTACCCTTCATCGTCGTCCACATTGGCACTCTCAGCCTGTGTAAAAGGAGCAATCCCGAAGGAAGGATCTGCGGCCACCGGCGAGGGAGCGAGACCACGGGGATCCGCAGCAGCACTAAAGCAACAAGGAGCAGTGAGAGGAGACGGAAATCATAAGAGCAGATACACAAGGTAAACAAGACTAAACGCACATGCGCCTCTGATGTAGGACGGCCACGATCTCCTCAGGAGTGAGATCACCATAGGACACACGGTGACGCAGCTGTTGATACGCGACACCAGACGGATGACTGTAAACATCAATAACAACAATGAGCAGATATCGAATCAAAAGAGAGCGATGCCATACGACACGGTGACGGGCGGAAGCAAGGAGTAAGCAGACTCTCCGGGAGCAGGGACAGATGGAGAACGAGGATCGAGCGAGTCAAGGGGATCACCTCGTCGGACCCTTTTTTTGGGGGGAGCACTGAGCGAATGATGAGACAGGTAACTTCGCAACATCAGAGAAGTACCTAGTGGCAGAACGGGCAGAAGAAACAGGTGCAGGAATGCCAACGTCTACAGTTGACAAAGTATTGTCAATGGTAGGTGAAACCTGAACCCGACCCCGTTTAGACCGACTAAAAGCATGCCAGGTTAATAATGCAACAAAACACATGCAGTAACGTATAGAACACACCGGTTAGAAGAAACGACAGAGTCGTGGGAAGACATCGTTGTATGCTAGACAAAAGCAGATAGCAGAAAGTGACAAAGGGACGAGAGAAGGGATGGAGAAAGGGAGAGCAAAATAGCAGGCATAAATAAGAATCAACGAAACACGAAAGAAGATAAAAGAATTTTTTAAAAAAGATGAAGGGCAAAGAATAAAGTTAATATCCTCATGGAGATAAGAAGCAGTCCGAGATAATATAGATGCACGATGAAGAGGGAAACCATTCAATAGAGAAGATGAACAGATATAAACGCAATAAATTAAAATTAAGAATGAAACAGAGGATGCAAGCATGCAAGACACGTGGGACTGAGAAAGCGGCGGGAAGACTGATAAGAACCTAGAAGAAGCCCATAATGGAAAGGGAGACAGTGCATAAGGCGGAAGAGTAAATTCGACACAACGCACATCAACTAGAACTGCCCAACATCCGCACGATACGGAGGCGTGGAAGGAACGTGCACATGGTCAGATAAGCGATGATCAACGCCCAAAAGGTTGAGCGATGCAAAAAAGAGGAAGAGGATAACCAGCAACGGGAAAAAAGAAGCAAAAAGAGTATTTTTTTAAAAAAAAAAAAGGACCCATCGGGTCCGGACCTGGAGAAGAGGAAGAAGCATCACAAATATCATGTACCTGAAGGGAAAATGATCAACACATACAGACACGGTTCTTGAGTCAGTCAGTACAGTTGGTAGGACTGGGCAGCGAAAGCTTCGATGACGCAATGGACGCAATCAGAAGTATGCAAGTCATGGGCGAACGAGAGTTCAGAGATGGAGAGCTCGAACACTGGAAGCCAATGTCGATGAAAGGATTGGATGCTATAGAGTTGTCTAACCGATACTTCAGACCGCGCAACACCACAAACAACGAGGAAGGCGTACCTTTTCCAAATGACGTCGATCCTGTGGGAATACTGGCCAAGATGGCGCAGCGAAAATGGATTCACACTGAAGACAACGAGGTACGATACTACAGAGGTGTGATGGATGAAAGAGGGAAAAAGAGGCAAGCGTTCTTTCAATTCGTGTTGTTTTTGTCTTTTTCTCTTGTCATGTGCGGACTGAATATGCGACTGATGACGGTTCGTGAAGCAGATACGTGTCAGCCAAGCCGCAGATATTCCGAGTAGGAGACATAGTGGAAGCGCAATGCTCGGTCATGTTCTTGAGGACAAACGAGGGTATGGCGAGGATGAAGATGATACTGAGGGCATTGGCCCTCATCAACAGCGACAACTCGACAGTGAGTAACGGAATACATAATGATGACACGTATAATGATAACAAAGGTACAGAAGGCAACGGCGGAACACAGAAACGCGATGAGTACGCAATCAGAGACCGTCGTAAGGATGAAGCGGAAGATTGGATTCAAAGAGGAGGAGGAAGACATTGACGCGAGGGCCAAAAAGACAAACAGGACGGACGATCATGAGAGAGAGGAAAGGATGATGATGGAACCGTAAAGTAGAGTGGAGAGAACTGTTTGATAGATCAATGAAAGACAAGAGAAAGCAATACTAGATACTTATGCTGAATACAACGATGAACCCGAAAATTTCTGTTACTTATTTCTCAGACGCCATGTCCCTAGTAATGTGCGAGGTAATTTCTGATAAGATCAAAGAAAATAACACAATGAACACGACGAAAGGAGGAGAGGAGAAAAAGGAGAAGTAGAGGTCGCCTTGTCATCCGTCTTGTGTTCCTCGTGGCGAGAGGGAAGATACTGGGATGGAGGAAGCCGACCATGGTGAATCGGCAAAGGCCGTGATGGATTGATTCCATGAATAGGATTTTCCCACAGGGATTAGCACCTGGATAATAACCGAGTATCCTATATTCATAGGACTCGGAACCATTTTGATGCATTACCTAGTTGGTCTCTAGGGAATTATTAACATCGTCCGACTCGGAAACGACAAAGTTGCAGCACCACCTCAATGATGTTCTAGGTGGTTGTTGTGCGGAAGGCCTGGTCTTATGGTCGCTGGAATAATGAGCCCATCGATGAAGCCTTGTTCTTGTCATTACTCAGCGAGTAGACATCTCCAAGCCTCAGTCGCGATAGCGGTGTGGCTTGAAGAAAAGGTATGTGGAATGGTATACATGGTCTATCAGAACAATGTAGGAAAAAGCTTCTTTATCTGAATTTCGCTGGCATCTCCTTGGAACACGTGTATCATCCACATAATTCGCTGTGTTCACACCCGAACTATGTCCGGACCACAACAAAAATGTGTGGACATACATGTACATGAAAATCCAAATTCAGCAAGAGAAACGCAAACTAGTTTCTGAGGGGAACCTTCTTGAATTGCTTCCTTGGAAATTTAGTGATAAAAAAAGAACAAACGCATCCACCCTTAACGCGCCACGCCTTGAGAACTTTCAGTGCAGGAAGGCAATTTTGATTTTGTTAGACAAGTGATAAATGCGTCAATGAACACATGAACCGAGATGACACTACCTTCCGTAGGTCTAATGGAGCTCAAGAGCACCCATGTACTTAGACTAAGATAGTATAGACCACGTGGAGCTGTTTTATTCATGCATCATTAGAAATGTGAATATTTAATCATGATTCGTCTGAACTAAAACAAAAGATATCTCATGTAAAGATACAAGTTCATATAAATCCTAAATTTAAGATCTCATCCTAGCTCTCCAAGTCATACACCAACAATTAACAAGCAAATATACTCTACAGTCGACTGTGCACATTCAAAGCCACACTGTTACGATTCTTCCGTTCTCGCAGAGCGAGCGGGCGCAGACCGTCTTTCATGAGCTTTCTGGATGGCGTTGATCCTATAATGCACATGGATTCATTGAGACAACCGCGTTGATGAAATTCTGGAACATACCAAATGGCGTCACTGTTATAAAAATCACAGCAGAAAGTGCAAATCTCGCAAGGCTAGAATGTTTGTTGTTAGGAAATAAATTGGAAAGCAAGAACTAGCTTCTTGTGTCCCGGGGCGCAAGTGCCAACAAAGATTCCTCGGTTACCTCCTCGAAAGTAGGTTCGACTGAAATAAGCTGCGATGAGTTCGCCTAGACGAGGTAGACGAGGATCCGAAAGACCTACAGCAGGCATTTCATTCAGTCGTGAATGGTCGTATAGTGCATTCTCAAATGAGATGAATGATTGCTATATGAGAGGAAGTTAGTTCACAGTGGCGAGGCAAGAACACTATCAGAGCAAACGATCTTTTCCTAGGTCCAGCCATGGTTGCCTTTTCATCGACGAGTCTTGAAGACAAAGCTCTTACTTGGCTATCGCATTTATCCGACCTGCAGAAAAGAATCAAGACTTAATAAGTCGCTCGCCAAGAATACTGATTACGGACCTTCACCCATATCGCCTGCATCAAGAGTCTGCAAACATCTTCCACCCGCGAGTCATGAGACCATGGTTGCTTTCATAATTGACGCGTTTTCGAAAGCGCCGTCACGCTCCGGCTGGGAAGGTATCGATAATGATTAAACACTCGAAAAGTGAAAGCTCACGTTAATAAACTCCCACAACAACACCTTTATCAAGCTTGAGGATGAAAAATGTAGAAAAAACGAAGAAAAACATTCTCATGCAGTCGTACTGTGCACTATGAAGGGACATCAGTACTAAGATTGGCTCGGAGAAACGATTTACTGGGCAGGTGTAACAAAAACTATGTCAACAACGCGATCCGAGTCTTGGTCAGATATTATCATCCAATCGTTATGGGCACTACCCAGTCCGAAATGGTTTGAAGGTTGAAAGACGACTGATGAACAGGGAGCACATTAGTCTAAATCAGCGAAGAAAAGAAAAGAATCGGAATGTGCTTCAGTGAAACCATACCTATGGACATGGCTGTTAATAATGAACCCATTGAAACGATAGGTGCGGATATGCGTACTGATATTGGAGGTTGTGGACACTATTCACTGTGTAAAACTTGTTCGCGCATTGTTGAGGTTCGCGGCCATGGTTGACGTCAAGCCATCATTACACGTGTAAATGAAATTGAGCCCGGTCGAACATTGCTGCGTAGTCGCTGACTTAATGCCTTTGAAGGAGATAGTGTTATTTCCTCTGCAAGAGTTGAATTTGGTTCGATATTACTTTGCATAAAAGCATTCATGAAGTATCCCTAGAAAAGAGCTTAAGATGAGAAAGCAAAGGAAATTGTCGGGAACTTACGTGGTAGTAGCCGTTCCGGTACTAAGAATGCCGGCCCGAGGGAGAGGCCACGAGATCCTGAGGAGCTGTAACCGTTGCGAAACTTTCACTGGGAACCTTGTAATTGAATGGAAGAACCCAACACTGCGTAGGTGTTTTTAGGCGCGCATACTGAAGCTTTGGAAACAAAGCCCCCGTCACCGAAATGATGTCGCCCGTGTGGGCATCAAATAAAAGCCTCGAGGCATTACGTACGTGAGAACGACGGCGCTGTTGTCCTTGGCCCGTACTTGAGGGCAGGTTGGAATTAATCAAAGATGCCAGGTGGAGTATATGGCGTCTTCTGGAGCCACGGTGTCGATGGAGCGATACTTGCTATGTATGCATCAGTCAAGAGCATTTGCTGACTAGAACGGGAATTCGCGCACCAGGAGACATGAAAGATGATCTGAATGATACAATCTAGATAACAGATAAGAGGTTAGGGCAAAAGCTGCCGTCATAAACAAGGCATAAACCTTGTTATTCTTCATAGACATTGGCAGGTGGGAAGCGGGAGAGGCGGCGGTGAGCGCGCTGGTGGGAAAAGACTCCTCGTAGCAACCAAGCGGCTGGTCCTTGCTGCAGTGGTGGTGAACAGTAGCCAACCGTGACTCGATTGTGTTGAGATAATTCTTGCAGGTACGGAAGCACACGAGGGATCAGGAAACGAATACGGGATTGACATAGTACATGAACGGTAGAGTACGCAGTCAATCGAGTAAAGAAGAGAAAAGCGTAGCGGTACGTACACGTGACTGATTACCAATAAAGACGCGAGCCACGAGCTCGGAATCCAACATCACCTACCTCTTGCTGGCCGAAAAGTATGTCACTCGCCGTTTACTGTAATTCCTTTGTCATTTTCTCTTCTCTTACTTGACATATATTCTAAGATGGAGGCTTCTGGACTTGGCATCGTCTGCTTCCGGTTGCTCGATGTTATCGAAGACTCGAAGTGTATTTTTAATATTAAGGAAGCCTTGAAGTGTTGATGTACATACCCCGTCCTCAACTAGACATCATATGGCGAAGTTTCGCGTATGTGTAGAGGGCTAGTAGAAGAAATGCCTATATGTTCACCGAGCTCATCCGTACTCGCAGACTGCTGAACGAGTAATCTTCAGCACGAGGATAACTTTTTTTGATAACTACTTGCAATGAACATGCGCGTCGTACCAACGATTGTACAAGTCGAAGTACGACTTTATCTACTATCAATCCAAGTGCATTAAGTGCATTACGGCAATGGCGATTGGCCACATAGTAGGGGGATATATAATTATACGTATTGCCAGTCTAGTTACGTGAGTTCTAGCATCTATATCGAAGCACACTATATATAGAAGAAATAAATACGAGTATAAAAGAAAAGGATGCTCTGTCTAGTTCTCTATGGTTGGACCCTGAGGCGCACATGTCCTTCAACGCCATTTTATCCCTGATACCAGAGACGTGTATCCTTGTATTTTCCAGAAACCACGGGCGTCTGATGGCGCGACTCATCCAAACCGAAGGGGATATCAGCATATGTCGTCTCCTTTCTCCAATAGCCAGACCGAATAACACGCACAAGCGAGTCCGTGAAAATTCCAGTGTACCCCACCGTGCCGTCCTCCCCTTTTACCTCCTTTTCCTTTGCAAACTCATATTCTTTACATGCAGCTAGTAAAACGTGGGAGTCCACGTCTGGGTACCAGTCCCGGGATAAAATGGACCTGTATCCAGGATAAGACCTCAAATAACTATCCCCGACGAGGAGCATATCCTCAAGAGTAACACCTCTTGTTACAGGAGTAACGCGGGCTCCCAGTTCAGGTAGCTCACGGCTAACGCTACCTGAGTGACAGCAGTCGAGGATGACAGTGATTCTGTGCCCCTTGGCTCGGAAGATTTGGGTTAGGATGGTATTGAGTTCCCGATCGCTAATATCGGGGACGAGGGTGCCCTTGGCGCTAACCGAGCCGCGATCGATTGGACAAAGTGCTTCGATGTATCCGGATACGCCACGACGGTCCTTCTCATCTGAGTAATAAGACCCGTGTCCAGCATAGAAGATGACGATATTGTCGCCGTACTTGACGTCAGGGTTGGTAATGATTCCGAGAAGCGCGTCGATAATGTGGGTGCGTGAAGGGTATGATGAATCTTCAAGGGAGGTATGCTTCCGGGATCCAAGTAGACACTGGATGCGATCTCTGGGCACCTGGAGGTCTCCCATGAAGTATTTCTCCATTAATAGCGCGTCAGATACGCAAC